GAGGGGATGCGGTGCACCGCGGGGACCCAGCCGGGGTGGCCGGTGGCTGCTGCGCCGTGTCCTCTCCTCCGGACGGAGATGGCTGTCCCTGGGCTCCGGTCGCTCCCCTCCTGCGTGCCAGCCTGGTCCCAGCCCTGCCCTGCCTGGTGATTCACTGGCGCTTTTGGGGCCAAAGACGACATTTCGAGGGAATGTTTCTGAATAACCCTGTCAACAGGGATTCACATAAAACAATTAAAGCAACCGCAACCGCGTTGCCTTGGTTTGCTCATGGCCAGCTCCGCCGGAGCCCCAGCCCTTTGTGGTCCCTCACGTTTGCTTTCTCTTTCTCTGCAGAATGCGATGAACTTGCCGCCCGACAAAGCCCGGCTGCTGCGGCAGTACGACAACGAGAAGAAGTGGGAGCTCATCTGTGACCAGGTAAGGGTGGTGCAGGGGCTTTGGGCAGAGATCCCGTTCGCTGAGAGCACCAGCTGGGTGTCATCAGCAACGTCCCTGGGCTTGGAAAGGGACCTTGCAGAGGACAAATATTGGAATAGTTTCAAACATTCATTTCTTTGGGCTTGTGCTCGTCGAAGCCTTGCAGGAATAATTCCCTTTTTTGCCACGGAGCAATATTACGGATGCGTAAGAGCATCCAGCGGTGGGTGCTGCTGATTTTGCCCAGCACAGACTCCAAGAGGCTGCCCTGCGATCACCTCACAGTGAGTGCTTGGGCTTTGGTCTGCCTTCACTGGTGTAACGTGAAGGAATGATCTTGATCCAGCGAGCATTTGGCTTTCCACACCACAAGCCATCGTCGCAGCTGGCGATAGCTGTCGCCTTCCAGGACGGGCAAGTGATGCTCCAGCCTGAATCCTCTTCGCCTCCGGAGGCTGAACAACAAGCTCAGATTAAGCAGCACCATATGCTGAGGCATCCTTTGCGCGAGCTCTGCCGTGGCGTGCGGGCTGGGCAGCAATTAGAACAATTAACAGGTTGTCTCTGCCGTGACAAATGAACAGAAACGGCGTTATTTAGAGAAAGGGTAGCGTGCAGAAGGTAGGATGTGGATTGGCGAGCCAACAGCAAAATCAGGTTCTGCCATAAACTTCAAAAGTAGTGCCTGATGGAAATAATTGATCCAGGACTGGGAAAGTAGGATGTTTCCTTGAAATGTGAACACAGCGGTACCGGGATGAGAGTTTGGCAGGAGGCACAGTCATGCTGTGAGGTCAGGAACGTTTTCATAAATAGATTTGTGGGACATTTCCTATTTAGCTATTACAGTGGCAGAACCTGTGATAAAATCCACCCACCGTAAAGAGTTACTTGCTCTTTTCCGTGAGTTTTCTGTGCAGAAAACCTAAAGCACTGAGCTATTTGTGCAGAAAACCTAAAGCACTGAGCTATTTAAAGCTTCAGTTTGGTGAGACACTGCCCAAGTTGCTTAATCTGCTGGAAGGGATTTGTTTCGTGGGTGTTTGCTCAGAGCGCGGACGCTGGGAGCGTGCACCCGGGAGCGTGAGCTGTGTGCTGGAGCCTGCGTGCGCTGTGCAGAAGCAGTTCATCCCAGCCTGGATGGGCAAACTCCCACCTCGGAGCGGACCCACCCTTTGCGACACGCAGCTGCTGCTGATTCACTCCCCAGCTCTCTGGCAAGATAGGAGGGACGAGCAGCTGGAAACACAGGGAAGGAAATCTGCAATCTGGAGTCATGACGGATTTTAATAGCTCCTTGCACAACACAAGGCCACCCCCGGGTTGGGATGAGTCTGCTTCCCATCGCTGGGAGAGCTGGAACCGGCGCTGCCAGGATCCCGGGAGGTGACGGCGTGTCACCCTGCCAGGGTCCGGCCGTCCCACGGGATGTGCAATGAGGGGCTGCGTGCCCGTGGTCTGCCGCAGCTCCCCGGCTGCCCTGGCATTCCCGGCGGGCGCTTGCCAGCTCCTGTGCACGAGAGCAGCGTGGAGGGGGTGTCTGTGAAAGCACCAGAACGCGGCATATGGGGTGTGAAATGTTTATATCTGTCCACATCATTGTGACGCGTGGCTAAAAGTGCTTCCAGGAAGAGATTTCCTACAGAATGGATGTTTTCAGTGTGGATGCGGATTCTGACTGCTGTTTTCCTTTGGTATCACCCATTCCAGCATTTTCACCCGTTTTTGCTTAGTGAAGGACTGAGGATGTAAACCGATGTCGCAGCTTGAGGAAATTAACTTTTACTCTCCTGTACTGCTTTCCAGCTTCTGTCTGAAAGGAAGAAGGGCCCAGAGGTTGATCTTAAATTACATTTTCTAAATAGTCTATAAAGCAGATCATGGCCATTTGTCTGTGAAATAGTTTGAGAATATTAGGGGAGAGAGTTTGGCCCCTAGAAGGAACTCTGACTTTTGCAGAAGTGAGATTAATGAAAGTGGGGAGCTGCCAGTCTCATCATACTGGTAGTAGTAGAGTAGTAGTAGTAGTAGTAATAATCATAATAATAATAATAATAATATCTACTGTAGAGTCAGATTGTGCATCCCCTGTAAGGGTTGCTGGGCTGATTGTGGGGGACTTATTTTTCTGCTCCGTTGTCTATGAACCTTGCAATTCGTCTAAGCATTGCTGCTGGTGTCCTGAAGCTGGTGTCCCCACCTCTCCGGCTTAGCCTACAAGGAGGAGCAGAGCAGGTAGACCTGTTGCCCATCTTGGAGAGGGCCAGCGGTGGTCATCTGCGGGGGTGAGCGCTGGGAAGGATCCAGCCAGGGAAGAGGATTTTGTTTCCTGATGTGGCGAGACACGTCTTTTTGGTGTACTCTGCGCCTCTTTATCCAGCTGCTACCATGGGGTGTTCCAGAGGGGGCACGGAGGGAGAGGGAGGAGGTTGGGGACATCTTCCAAAGTTCTTCGTTGCCCTCTAATGGCAAGTCATGGCAGGGGCATCACCGTGTCCTCACCTTTGGAGGCACTGCAGGTGTGTGTGTATGGGGAATAAAGAATTAAGAGACCAAAGAGGAAAGCTGTGCGATTTACATCCAAAATATCCTCATGGAGGTGTTTGGAGAACTCTCTCCCTTTTCCAGTTGAACTCCAAACGCCAGCAGGTGCTGCAGTGTTGGAGGCTGGTGGCCAGCGAGGAGATCACCAGGATCCTCAGACGGTGATTGAAAAGCGGCACCTCGCCTTGTGCTACCATATGGTGCCATTAACCCTTTTGCAGCAGAGATCTGGATTTTTGGACAACACTCAACCAAGCATCTTCTGTATCTTTAGCTGTTTACAGTTCTGTTTGGAGAGCCTTTGCATAAAAAAAAAAAAAGAATTTTGTATACCAGTGAATCTCCCCTGTTTTGGGTGAAATACAGGCTGGAAAATCCAATAGTTTGTTGAACTCATGAGCATTTGGATGGTAGAGATGCTCATGGCATCATTTATCTGACTTGCTGGCCCTGTGAGAGGTTGCTCACTGAAAATCAGACAGCGAGCGATGGAGCATCGGAGGTGCCCGCAAAGGGGGTCTGAGGCTCAGCATCCCCAGCCTTGGAGGGAGCGTCTGCGGCTCTGCTGCCGCTCAGCCAGGTCTCTTGAAGAAATACTGTTTTTTCAGAAAATTGATAGTGGTGGAAATGGATCCTTCTGCCTCCTAATTTTTTCAGAGATGAATGGTTGGTGTCGTTTCGTTCCATAATAAGACATATAAAGGGACATAAAGCCCCGTCCTGCTGTTACACCCTCCTGGGAGTTCTGTGGGGGTTTCCGACCCTCCTGGACCCCGCGTCGGATGTGCTGTGTGCTTCCCTAAGGTACGCGAATCCTAAGGATGAGACAAGTTAGCGAGGGTAATAATAATAATAATAATAACATATGTCACTAATGCAGAAAATGTCCTGAATGTTTTTGGAAGCAGAAGATCTCTGGAAAAGCCATAATTTCCTGGTTACAGAATTAAAATGTTTTCCAGATTGGGCTGAACAAGAGATGCGTCGAGTTCTTCGTAGGATCCCATGGAAGAGGAAATGCAGAAATCCGGCAGTTCCTCTTTGCTGCTGAAGCCCCCCCAGCCCTCTTTTTTCCGTATCCATCAGGAAAAGAAAGTGCTAATTCTGGGATCGCTGGGCAGAAGCACAGGAGCCGTGTTGTGCTCCTGTTTGAGCTTTTTCCCCGATTTCTCGTAGTTTATTACCCCAAAGGGAGGTGCTGGGGACCAGGACGTCTCATGGCTCTCTGGCTCCTTGCACGAGCTTCTCTGTGTTCTGCCTTAGAGCCTCAGCAATTTTTCAAGTAAGAAGGGGGCTTTTATCCTGGGGAAATGAAGTTCCTGTGCTTCCTAGGTGGCTGACAAAGGCAGGGCTGAGCTCTTGCCGGTCTGTGCCTTTCTCCTTTCAGGGCTGTAGATAGCGTTGGTGCTTATATGAGTCATGTAGAGGAGATAAAATGGGTTTCGTCGGGATTTATTAACTTTGTTGTGCCTGAACAGCCCAGTCCTGCCGCGACTGGGAGGGGAAGCCACCGGGTCCCAGCCGTGATGTCACCCACCGGCTTACGCTTATTGCTCAGCGAAGTCTGGAGACTGAAATGGGGATTTTAAACTTCCCACAGGTGTGGTAAAAACCCCCAGCCTCCTCGTTCAAATAGCATTAAACCCCTCCCCGTATAAATCTGTATTTTCAGAGCAGATTTGGCCAGTGAGCGATCGCAGATTGCCAGAAGCGCAGAGGAGGAGCAGACAGGAAAAAGCGACAATTTTTAACTCGTTATTTACATTATCTAAGGCAAGTGGGTTGGGTGTGAAGAGCAGTGCCCGGGTGCTGGCCAGCCAGCTGTTTGCCTCTGCAAGGAGGTAAAGAAGAGGGACCAGAAGGACCTTGAGGGGACCCTGGGCTGGCCAACCTCCACGGTCACTTCCAGCATTCATGGAAATGTCGGTCTGCAGTCTTCCCCATCCGACGAGCATCAGTTTTTGGGAGGACGATGGCTGTGAGCAGATGGCCGGGGTGTCCTGGAGGCATCGGGGAGCAGCACCAAGCCCCATTCTTCCAGCTTGCAATGTACCAGCCAGTTAAAGTTGGACAAACCCAGGCAGGAACCATAGCCAGGGCAATTTTAAAGGCTAATCCCTCACGGCATTCTAAAGCAGAAAAAAACACTTTAAGGGGCTGTAAAAATATTTCCAGGACTAGTAGATGTTCACCACAAGTGGTTTCTTGGGTGGCTAGTTAGAGCATTGCTGGTGTCTGCTGTGGGTGGGCAATGTCTTCAAAATCCTCCACCCAAAGAGTTCCACTGTACAGGAAGGAGCACCGACTGTTTGAGTGTAGAGATTCTTACATAAAATACGTAATTACAGCTAGGGTTTAAGAAAACAAACAACAATGTATAGTATCTGCATCCCGGACTACTGAGTGTGCTCGTGGAGCCTCTTTAAGTGTTTCAGTTTGGAGACTCCAGTTAGCAAAAGCTCCATCGCTTGCAGATGTAAAGAATAATATCTGGGGATGGCTGTGGAGTGGCATGGTGAAAACACTTCCAGCTTCGTGGGGTTTTGTAGAGAAGGACGTGGTTATTGGGATGCTGTAATGTCTCTGGAGCCAATATAAAACTGTTGAGGGGGAAGATGAGAGACGGCGGTGGCCGCGGAGGTCTGGTGCCGCTGTAGCTCGGTACTGGTCTGCAGTAAAGCCAGATTCTCATTTACAGCAAAGTGGGGTTCTTGTCTCTCTGCCAGCGTGAAGAAATTTTAAAATGGGTTAATGGGTGGAAATTGCTCCTAAATAACTTACATTTATGCCCACTGTAAAGACCCGGTCCCCAGTATCCCGAGGGGCTGTCAGTCTAGAAGTGGGCTGGAAAAAGTGCAAAAAATAAGCCAGCGGTTGTGATATTTTGAATATCGACATCTTATTCTTTTAACTGATTTATTTTATGTGCTTTTATTTATTTTATTATTTTTTTAACATTTCCTTTAAAGTCCCTGTTGGCACCAATAGGTGTTCCTGCTCCTGTTTTCCCTGGAGCTGGATGCGAGAGCTGACCCTCTCGGGATGCAGCTGGTGATCTCTGCTTGTGCTGGTGGAGCTGAGCGATGGAGCCTTGGCACCCCGGAGCCTGGGCACCCTGGAGCTGGGCGATGGAGCCTTGGCACCCCGGAGCCTGAGCACCCCGGAGC